GTTGAAGTCAGAATTATTAGCCCCTCTTTCAATTTTCTTTTTTAAATATTTCCTAAATGATGTTTAACAGAGCAAATAAATCTAAATCTTCTAAAGAAAGTCTTAATTGTTTTATTTTGGCTAGAATAAAGGCAGTTTTTAATTTTTTAAAAAACATTTTAAGGAAAAAATCATTAGCCCCTTTAAGCTATATTTTCTTCTGATAGTCTACAGAACAAACCATCATTACTGTATACAATAACTTGCCTAATTCCCCTGACCTGCCTAGTTACCCTAATTAACCCAGTTGAGCCTGTAAATGTCCCTTTAAGCTGTATAGAAGTGTCTTCAGAAATATCAAGTCAAATATTATTCACTGTCATCATGACAAAGATAGTTCCCAGAGATGGGTTGCGGCTGGAAGGGCATCCCCTGCGTAAAAACCTGCTGGATAAGTTGGCGGTTCATTCCGCTGTGGCGACCCCGGATTAATGAAGGGACTAAGCCGACAAGAAAATGAATGAATAAATGACAAAGATAAAATATGTCACTTATTAGAAATGAGATATTAAAACTATTAAGTTTAGAAATGTGTTGGAAAAATCTGCTCTCCGTTAAACAGAAATTTGGGAAAAAATAAACAGGGGGGCTAATAATTCTGACTTCAACTTTATTTACCTTCACTGTGGAATCGTGGATGGACTTTTTGGCACTGTAAATAAACATCACCTTGCACGACAATGCTTTGTGAGTAAGCCATCATTTTATTCCGGATACAAACTCACATTTCTCCCCCTGAAGACGAGCTGGTGAGCTTGTTTTCATCAGATCTGCTCTTATAATGCATTAGAAGTCTTATAGTGACAGGATAAAAACCATCACAAAGTCTCACTGATTTGCTCCTCAGGCTTCAGTAGCATCTGCCTGATGGCATTAGTGTGAGCAGACTATAGCCAGGGTGGGTTGGATCCCTTATAATGCTATTTGCCCTAGACAAACATCATTGTTGATACACTTATTCTGACTTGCACTAATTAAAATATATAAAAAAGAGAATTAATTATTATATTTAGTTCTATTTTAAACGATTAAATGCATTTAGCTGACAAATGTTTCGAAACTAGTTAATTTGTGTATAAATGGTAAAGTATAACATATAAACTAGTTCTGTATAAGTATAAATATTAAAAATGACAATTAATGAAACTTTTGGAGCTGCACTGTGATCCTTAAACATTCATTCAGCTCATTTTTATTACTGTAACTCTCTCTATTACAGTATTTCTCAGTCTTCTCTCTCTCTCATCTGCAGCTGGTACGAAATTCAGCTGCTAAACTACTTTCTGCCACCTGCAAGTAAGAGTCAGCACCTCCTATTTGATCTGCTCTTCACTGGTTACTCATTAAATACAGAACTGATTTTCAAATTTTAATATTTGTATGGCGACGCGGTGGGTAGCACGATCGCCTCACAGCAAGAAGGTTGCTGATTCGAGCTCCGGCTGGGTCAGTAGCCATTTCTGTGTGGAGTTTGCATGTTCTCTCCCTGCTGGTATGGGTTTCCTACGGGTGCTCCGGTTTCCCCCACAATCTAAACACATGCGCTATAGGAGAATTGGGGAAGCCAAATTGTCTACGGTGTATGTGTGTGAATGAGAATGTATGGGTGTTTCCCATTGATGGGTTGCAGCTGGAACATTACTAAATTGAAGCCTTTTCTTTCTTTTAAAGAGCTGGAAACTGTCATTAATGTTTTTATCATGTCCAGACTGGACTACTGTAACTCTTTGTATTCTGGAGTTTCACAGGCATCAATAGCACGACTGCAGCAGGTTCAAAATGCAGCTGCTAGGCTTTTAACTGGGACAACATTTTTTTCTAGTATCTCACCAGTTTTATCATCTCTTCACTGGCTCCCAGTCCAATTTAGAATTCAATATAAGTTATTGCTACTTGTTTTTAAAAGTTTGAATGGTCTGGCACCGATTTACATCTCTGAGCTTCTTCACTGGCACACTTCATTGAGGCCAATCAGGTCAGAAAAACAAGTTTCAGCTAGTTGTCCCCAAAACACGGTTGAAATCAAGAGGTGACAGGGCTTTTTCTGCTGCAGCCCCCCGACTGTGGAATGGTCTGCCTTTACAGATCCAGTCATGTTCTTCACTTGGTGCTTTTAAGTCTCATCTAAAAAATCACCTTCTGTCTCTTGCCTTTGATTGTAATTAATTAATTTTAATCTGTTGTATATAATTTTGCTTGATTTTTATATATAGGTATAAATTTTGTATGCTGGTCATTTTGTAAAGCACTTTGGTCAACATCTGTTGTTTTCAAATGTGCTTTATAAATAAAGCAAACAAACAAACAAAGCAAACAAAGTTGGCGGTTCATTCCGCTGTGGCGACACAAGATTAATGAAGGCACTAAGCCAAAAAGAAAATGAATGAATGAAAATAAATAAATGAGATAAACATAATTAAATGACACTTTTTATGAGCATTAAGTTTGCCAGCAGGAAACTAAACAATATAATTTCATACATATTTGTGTATTTGCTTACCAACAATGTATGTGCTTGGATCAAATCGATCTCGAGGACTGGCCTGTGTTGGGATCAGCCAAGTTAACGCAGCACTTTTCTCACAGTACTGATCCTGGACGAATCCCCGAATCTGTGCGTAATACGGTTTACCATCATCCTCGTCTATCACTTTAATGACATCTCCTATTTGATAATAGATGCCCTGAAAACAACAAGTGTGTGTTAGTGGGTGCTAGGCAGAAAACACTGTGAATATTCATTTAAAACTGTTACCTTGTAAAACATGGACTCTGATGTGATGATCGTTGAAACAGACTCTGGTGCTTTTATAGGCCAGTGTATGTAAACAAGAGACAAGAATAAGGGTTGCTGTAAGAAGGGATACAGCCATGGCTGGAAGTTATCAGGAGTTGCTTATAAAATTACAATTACAATCTTATATCAGCCCTTGGCTAGTCACAATAATCAATTCATCAATTAATCACAAAACACATGGACATGACCTCAATCAATTTCTGATCATGTAATATATATGCGTATATGGAAACTGACCTTACTATCCGAATGTAGCAGCAGAAATCGAGTCTCATCAGACCAGCCGACGTTTCTCCAATCTTCTATTGTGCAGTTTTGGTGAGGCTGTGTGAATTGTCGCCTCAGTTTCCAGTTCTTAGCTGACAAGAGTGTCACCTGGGTGTTCTTCTGCTGCTGTAGCCCATCTGCCTCAAGGTTGGACGTGCTGTGTGTTCAGAGATGCTCTTCTCGGTTGTAACAAATGGTTATTAGTCATAATAATAATAATAGTAATAATAATAATAATAATAATAATAACTTACATTTATGTAGCGATTTTCTGGACACTCAGTGTTTTACACAATAGGGGGAATCTCCTCATCCACCACCAGTGTGCAGCATCCACCTGGATGACGCAGCGGCAGCCATATTGCGCCAGACAGCACACCACACACAAGATGTTATTTGAGTTACTGTTGCCTTTCTATCAGCTGGAACCAGTCTGGCCATTCTCCTCTGACATTATTGAGAAACGTATTGATGTATTGATGAATTGCTGATGATCACATTACTTTCCACTGCATTATTATTATGATGCTTTGTATGTTTGAGCTTTTTACTTTTATGATGAAGCCATGTTCAAGCAGACTGTAGTGTGATGAGAAACACAAAGTGTGCAAACACAGCCGGAAACAGGAAAAGAATTAAAAGAGCAGGATGTGTAAGTAACATAATGGGAACAGAATGATGGAAGTAAGGTCATAAGGGCGTTCTGTTTCATGTGTGACTCATGATCATGCACACCTGCACACTCAGACATGCACCCATGCTCAGCTGCAACGACTTCCAAAATATGATGACCCTAAAACTGGCGGTGAACTTCAGCTGAACTTACAGTTGACTGCTCACTGTACAGTGAACAAGATATATTGTTGAGCACTGATTTTGCTGAATTGCCACATTTGAAGTAGGAAGGAAAGACCTTAGTGGTCATGGGTAGGATCCCTGTGAAAACCTGTGATTCTACTGGGGGTAAAGACATTACTCAACTGGCCATGGGTAGGGAGCATCTGGGAGAGCTGAGATCCTATTAGTGGAGAAGCTAATGGAGGTGTGCTAATGTGTAAATCTGGGTGGAGTGTTTAGACAAAGAAGTGTAATTAAACTGTGTGCTAGCCTATACTCATCACACACTCGATCGACCCGTCTCTGTTGTTACTGATGCTGTAACAATAAACTGCTTTGCCTAAAGACTTCTCAAACTTCTCAAACTTTATTTTTTTTTTAAACTTTGACTTAGAAAATATTTTGCACAACAACATCAACAAGACATTTGCGCCCACAGAAATGCTGTTCACTGGATATTTTCTCTTGTTTAGACCATTCTCTGTAAACCCTAGAGATTGCTGTGCGTGAAAATCCCAGTAGATCAGCAGTTTCTGAAATACTGGCACCAACAACCATGCCTTGTTCAAGTCATTTAAATCCCCTTTCTTCCTCATTCTGATGGTTGGTTTGAACTGCAGCAGGATTAAGGCAGTTCTGAAGGCATAAGGAGTCCAACCCAGAGCTAGTAAGGTGTACCTAATAAAGTGGCCGGCAAGTGTAGGTAATCCATTTTTGTGCATTTGAACAAAACAGATTTATTAAACAGGTATATTTATTAAAATAATATTTTAATTACTGAATATCTTTAGAAATAGAAAAATAACACATTTAAATTCATGCAAAATACTGCAAACTACATAATTTCAACAAAATAGTAAATATTTTTTGTTTCTCTTGATTTTTGCTCATTTTAATTTCATATTTTTCGCCAACATATAAATTTGGACACACTTCTGGACTCTTATTTCAAGTTATTTGGTTAGATTAGCTCCAGACTAGATAATATAATGTGTATGCACAATATAATACTGTAAAGCATCCCATAGAAAGTCTGAATTGAATTATTAGTCATATATGCTGAGATATATTTCTTCCAGTGCATTAGAAATAAAACGTGCAGTGATAAGAAAGAGTCATGAAACATTCAGCTTTGCTATGCACACTTTTATTTACAGGCAGGAATGTGCAGTAGGGTAAAGGTGTAAGGAGGTGTCAGGGAGGGACGGTGATCCGCTTCAGGACCAGCAGAAGTTGGGATTGTGCTTATTGATGCACAAGTGTTTGAGTTTTGGATCATTTCTGTAGCGTTCCCGCAGGAGATTTCTCTCATTTCTCTCCTCCTCCTTACGCAGTTTCTTTTCCTGCTTTTTCTTCACCTTCTCCTCCATCAAGCTGAACAGAACCAGCGGGCCGTTCCTCTTTGGCTTCTTCCTGCTCTTGATTTCGGTGTACACAGGAGGCCCGGTGCAGAACGCCTGAATCAGGAGCTCCTCAAACGCCTCATCACGAGACACCTCATTCAGCGGGTTTTGTATGACCTGCGAGGCTCCCTTTCCTCCATCTTTCTGGACCTCCGTCACTTCCTCCTGCTCCAGCCAAGCCGCCATCCGCCTCGGCTTCATTTCAGACTCATAGAAAGCTTCTATGTCTTCCTCCGTGTACTCCATAAATTCAAGCTCCTCATCCTCAAAGTCAAAGAGCATGAGGCCTGAAGAGGGAGAACACTCAGATGCTTGAGGCTTTACAAGAGACACCACCTCGTCAAACGCAAAGATTGGAGGAATCGGCAGCGTTTCAGGAGGACTCTGGAGGAGAGACGGCTCACTGAATGAAGGAATCGAGCACAGAGAAGCCACCTCAGAAGAGCTCTGGAGGGGAAGGAGGACTGGTTCTGGAGAGACACATGGAGCCACTTGGATCACTGAGCTTGGCAGCACCTCATCAGTTTCCTCAACAGGCGATTGAGGACGGGATGCTGGGTTTGAGAGAGGTGACAAGGCTTTGAGGTGAGAGGCTGGGAGAACGAGAACCTCTGGATGTTCAGGTTGATCTCCAACTGGTGTTAAGGAGGAGAAACAGGCTGAAGCTGGCAGAGGTTTGACCTCAACAAGACGAGGAAGAGACTCTTTGTCTTTCAGCAGAGGTTTGAGGCCAGCAGCTGGGAGAGCGAGGACATCTGGATGTTCAGGTTGATCTCCAACTGGAGGGGAGGAGGAGAAACAGGCTGGAGCTGGCAGAGGTTTGACCTCTACAGGAAGAGGAAGAGTCTTTTTGTTTTTCAGCTTTCTCCTCTTTCTTTTCTTTCCTCCAGGTTCTCCGTTTCCTCCTGTTGGAATAAAGGAAAATATTGTTTATTATTTTTGACTCTTTTTATTTTCATCAAACAGTTATTAGTATTGGTCATTTAAGGCAGGGGTTCTTCAACTTTTCAGCCCGGGACCCCCAAAATAACAGCACCAATGACTCGTGACCCCCACTATTTTCAGAAGTGGTTATAATCATACAAACGTTGCACACAACACTCATATAAACCAATCGGTCTATATAAACACAAGCATATTGACAACACAAAAAGAGCAGCAGTCTAACAACCATATCATTTAATTATTTTGATTATTATTTAATATTAACCTCACCTAATGAGACTGCTGGGCACAATATTTAAGTGTTTTCTTGGTTTAATGTTGGAGACTGCCACTTACAGATCATCCTCCATGTTCAGTCGTGGCCTGTATTGATTTGAAATGTACATGAGTGCTGTAAAGGTGTCAGAAAGTTTAGCTAGTGCCGTAAAATCAATCTGCTGCAACTGACGCTATTGCTCTGTCGTTAATCTCGTGTACAAACCCTAGAGGCTGCAATGTAAAAACAACTACAACAAAACAACTCTCTTATCCTGGCAGACGGGTACTCACCTTCTCTCTCGGTGCTCTGTATGTTTTCAGCACTGAGAGCTTGTTTTTCCTCTTCAGCCTGGTCTTTCAGACCCTCTCCCTCTTTGCCCGGTCTGTGTCCATGATGGGACTTCACCTTGCGGTGTTTCTGTGTGGACATGGCCTTGCTTTCTCCTGCCTCTGCACCTATATCAGCGATCTGAGGGCTCAGCCTTCTGCCCCATGAAGGTGTAAAACATGCAGACAGCTGCCGAAATACACTGGTAAACAGTGACATTATGAACAGTCAATGCTCAATTCAAAAGTCGTCAAAAAACACTGAAAGACACGAAAGTAGCTGTCGATCAGTTCACTCCTAAACACACCAACAGCGCTCGAGAGTCAGAACATCAGTTTAGAACAGCAGTGCAGAGTTCTAATCTTGATGTCATGGAGGAGAGCTCAGCTGAGAGGCCATTTTGAATGAAAACAGTTTCAGTGGAAACATTTTAATGTAATTCGTACATCCAGAACTCATGTAATAATGGTGGATGTATAACATCTGTTAAACTTTGAGATTATACATACATATATACAGTTGAAGTCAGAATTATTAGACCCCTGTTTATTTTTTTCCCCAATTTCTGTTTAACGGAGAGCAGATTTTCTCAACACATTTCTAAGCATAATAGTTTTAATAACTCATCTCTAATAACTGATTCATTTTATCTTTGTCATGATGACAGTAAATAATATTTGCAGTGCATTGTTTAATGATGGTTTGTTCTGTAGACAATCAAAAAATGAATAAAGCTTAAGGGGGCTAATATTTTTGACCTTAAAATGGTTCTTTAAAAATTGAACCTACTTTTATTCTATCTGAAATAAAACAACTAAAACTTTCTCCAGAAGAAAAAATATTATAGGAAATACTGTGAAAAATTCCTTGCTCTGTTAAACATCATTTGAGAAATATTTGCAAAAAAAATAAACTAAATTCACAGGAGAGCTAATCATTTTGACTTTACTCTACATGTAAAGCATAATTTCTGATTTAATGTTTCAAATAACATGTTAAATGAAATGTTTCAATCAGTGCTAAAATTAAACACTTCAGTTTCAGTTTCCTTTATTTTTGTCATTCTAAACATCACAATAAATTGCAATGCAAAATGAAATTACGTTACATCAGACTCAACAAGAACATTAAAAACATCAAACACTAGAAAAACCAAACAATAATAAGCTTTTATAAATTCAGAAATATAAATATAGATAAAAACAAAAAAAATCCCACAATTAATGAATAAATTAATACTTAAATACCTGTTGCACAGTTTGATATAACTGTTATATTATAATCAATTTGTGCTAGTTTAACTGTTTATAGAATCATTATTACACACTAGCTATCAATAGTATTGAAATAGCATTTGCTGTTAATTAAATATTAAGGATTTTTTCTTTATGTGTTTAATATGAGGTGTGGATTGAATGTTAAGTTTTTTAATGTTTGTGTATTTGTTAAATTTAATTCTTACCTGTAAATGGTTTAGCCCACAAATGGGCGGGAGTTTGGGCTATAAAAGCCAGAGTCCAACTACCAAACAACACTTGTTTACCAAGTCGGTGCAAAAGTTCTACTGTGGTGCCTGGAGCGAATATATTGTGGATACCTGTTATTGTTGTTACCATTATTTTTATTTTTAGGATATAATTGGAGTATATTTTTGCAGATTTAGTTTTCCTGTTTGTTGAATTATTAGCCCCCTTTCATTTTTCTTTTTTAAATATTTCCTAAATGATGTTTAACAGAGCAAATAAATCTAAATCTTCTAAAGAAAGTCTTAATTGTTTTATTTTGGCTAGAATAAAGGCAGTTTTTAATTTTTTAAAAACCATTTTAAGGAAAAAATCATTAGCCCCTTTAAGCTATATTTTCTTCTGATAGTCAACAGAACAAACCATCATTACTGTATACAATAACTTGCCTAATTCCCCTAACCTGCCTAGTGAACCTAATTAACCCAGTTAAGCCTGTAAATGTCCCTTTAAGCTGTACAGAAGTGTCTTCAGAAATATCAAGTCAAATATTATTCACTGTCATCATGACAAAGATAGTTCCCAGAGATGGGTTGCGGCTGGAAGGGCATCCCCTGCGTAAAAACCTGCTGGATAAGTTGGCGGTTCATTCCGCTGTGGCGACCCCGGATTAATGAAGGGACTAAGCCGACAAGAAAATGAATGAATGAATGAAAAAGATAAAATACGTCACTTATTAGAAATGAGATATTAAAACTATTTAGTTTAGAAATGTGTTGGAAAAATCTGCTCTCCGTTACACAGAAATTTGGGAAAAATAATCAAGGGGGCTAATAATTCTGACTTCAACTTTATATACCTACACTGTGGAATCGTGGATGGACTTTTTGGCACTGTAAATAAACATCACCTTGCACGACAGTGCTTTGTGAGTAAGCCATCATTTTATTCCGGATACAAACTCACATTTCTCCCCCTGAAGACGAGCTGGTTAACTTGTTTTCATCAGATCTGCTCTTATAATGCATTAGAAGTCTTATAGTGACAGGATAAAAACTATCACGAAGTCTCACTGATTTGCTCCTCAGGCTTCAGTAGCATCTGCCTGATGGCATTAGTGTGAGCAGACTATAGCCAGGGTGGGTTGGATCCCTTATAATGCTATTTGCCCTAGACAAACATCATTGTTGATACACTTATTCTGACTTGCACTAATTAAAATATATATAAAAGAGAATTAATAATTATATTTAGTTCTATTTTAAACGATTAAATGCATTTAGCTGACAAATGTTTAGAAACTAGTTCATTCGTGTATAAATGGTATAGTATAACATATAAACTAGTTCTGTATAAGTATAAATATTAAAAATGACAATTAATGAAACTTTTGGAGCTGCACTGTGATCCTTAAACATTCATTCAGCTCATCTTTATAACTGAAACCCTCTCTATTATAGGATTTCTCAGTCTTCTCTCTCTCTCATCTGCAGCTGGTACGAAATTCAGCTGCTAAACTACTTTCTGCCACCTGCAAGTAAGAGTCAGCACCTCCTATTTGATCAGCTCTTCACTGGTTACTCATTAAATACAGAACTGATTTTCAAATTTTATTATTTGTATGGCGACGCGGTGGGTAGCACGATCGCCTCACAGCAAGAAGGTTGCTGATTCGAGCTCCGGCTGGGTCAGTAGCCATTTCTGTGTGGAGTTTGCATGTTCTCTCCCTGCTGGTATGGGTTTCCTACGGGTGCTCTGGATTCCCCCACAATCCAAACACATGCACTATAGGAGAATTGGGGAAGCCAAATTGTCTACGGTGTATGTGTGTGAATGAGAATGTATGGGTGTTTCCCATTGATGGGTTGCAGCTGGAAGTTTGCCAAGGTTGCAGCTGGAACATTGCTAAATTGAAGCCTTTTCTTTCTTTTATAGAGCTGGAAACTGTCATTAATGTTTTTATTATGTCCAGACTGGACTACTGTAACTCTTTGTATTCAGGAGTTTCACAGGCATTAATAGCACGACTGCAGCAGGTTCAAAATGCAGCTGCTAGGCTTTTAACTGGGACAAAAGAAATTCTAGTATCTCACCAGTTTTATCATCTCTTCACTGGCTCCCAGTCCAATTTAGAATTCAATATAAGTTATTGCTAGTTGTTTTTAAAAGTTTGCATGGTCTGGCACCGATTTACATCTCTGAGCTTCTTCACTGGCACACTTCATTGAGGCCAATCAGGTCAGAAAAACAAGTTTCAGCTAGTTGTCCCCAAAACACGGTTGAAATCAAGAGGTGACAGGGCTTTTTCTGCTGCAGCCCCCCGACTGTGGAATGGTCTGCCTTTACAGATCCAGTCATGTTCTTCACTTGGTGCTTTTAAGTCTCATCTAAAAAAATCACCTTCTGTCTCTTGCCTTTGATTGTAATTAATTAATTTTAATCTGTTGTATATAATTTTGCTTAATTTTTATATATAGGTATAGATTTTGTATGCTGGTCATTTTGTAAAGCACTTTGGTCAACATCTCTTGTTTTTAAATGTGCTCTATAAATAAAGCAAACAAACAAACAATGCAAATAAAGTTGGCGGTTCATTCCGCTGTGGCGACACAAGATTAATGAAGGCACTAAGCCAAAAAGAAAATGAATGAATGAAAATAAATAAATGAGATAAACATAATTAAATGACACTTTTTATGAGCATTAAGTTTGCCAGCAGGAAACAAAACAATATAATTTCATACATATTTGTGTAATTGCTTACCAACAATGTATGTGCTTGGATCAAATCGATCTCGAGGACTGGCCTGTGTTGGGATCAGCCAAGTTAACGCAGCACTTTTCTCACAGTACTGATCCTGGACGAATCCCCGAATCTGTGCGTAATACGGTTTACCATCATCCTCGTCTATCACTTTAATGACATCTCCTATTTGATAATAGATGCCCTGATAACAACAAGTGTGTGTTACTGGAGAGAAAGTGGCAGACAGAAAAACACTGTGAATATTCATTTAAAACTGTTACCTTGTAAAACATGGACTCTGATGTGATGATCGTTGAAACAGACTCTGGTGCTTTTATAGGCCAGTGTATGTAAACAAGACAGGAGAATAAGGGTTGCTGTAAGAAGGGATACAGCCATGGCTGGAAGTTATCAGGAGTTGCTTATAAAATTACAATTACAATCTTATATCAGCCCTTGGCTAGTCCCAATAATCAATTCATCAATTAATCACAAAACACATGGACATGACCTCAATCAATTTCTGATCATGTAATATATATACGTATATGGAAACTGACCTTACTATCCGAATGTAGCAGCAGAAATCGAGACTCATCAGACCAGCCGACGTTTCTCCAATCTTCTATTGTGCAGTTTTGGTGAGCCTGTGTGAATTGTCGCCTCAGTTTCCAGTTCTTAGCTGACAAGAGTGTCACCTGGGTGTTCTTCTGCTGCTGTAGCCCATCTGCCTCAAGGTTGGACGTGCTGTGTGTTCAGAGATGCTCTTCTCCAGAGCTCGGTTGTAACAAATGGTTATTAGTCATAATAATAATAATAGAAATAATAATAATAATAATAACTTACATTCATGTAGCACTTTTCTGGACACTCAGTGTTTTACACAATAGGGGGAATCTCCTCATCCACCACCAGTGTGTAGCATCCACCTGGATGGCATGGTGGCAGCCATATTGCACCAGACAGCACACCACACACAAGATGTTATTTGAGTTACTGTTGCCTTTCTATCAGCTGGAACCAGTCTGGCCATTCTCCTCTGACATTATTGAGAAACTTATTGATGTATTGATGAATTGCTGATGATCACATTACTTTCTGTTGCATTATTATTATGATGCTTTGTATGTTTGAGCTTTTTACTTTTATGATGAAGCCATGTTCAAGCAGACTGTAGTGTGATGAGAAATGCAAAGTCTGCAAACACAGCCGGAAACAGGAAAAGAATTAAAAGAGCAGGATGTGTAAGTAACATAATGGGAACAGAATGATGGAAGTAAGGTCATAAGGGCGTTCTGTTTCATGTGTGACTCATGATCATGCACACCTGCACACTCAGACATGCACCCATGC